CACCCCGCACCCCCTCACCCCCTCCTGCCGAGTGAGTTTCGCTCAATGGGAGGCTCAAGTGTTTTGGCGCTTGCGGGCGTGGAGCGGGAATATGCCCTTGGTCTGCTGCTGGTGCGGTTGAAGCACTCATTCAAACATAGCAGACATCGAAAAGCGAACAGTCAACTTCGCCGCCGCCACCGCTGTGTGGTTCGTGGAAGCCCCGGGTGCCGGCTGTGCGAGTGCAGAGTATTGAAAGTAGGACACGAGGGGTAAACTGAAGTTAGCGAAATTTGTGGACGACGCAGCCCCATGCTCACACGGTGGCCAACATCGGCGCCGTTCTTTCTCGTCTTTCTTCTAGTTGCACTGCCCAGAAAGTACCAGTGCGTTCGCGTTTTTTCTCGGATTATTCATCAAACAATACGGGAGCTCGCCGCCTGCGAGCCACGGGATAGGCACCCCCGCGGTACACGCGTGCACTCCACGCAAGATGTTGCCTACCTAGCGGGCGCTATGAGAGCTTGCATGGGGCTGAACTTGGCACTTTCATAACGGCGAATGACGCGTGCGTACTTTCTTAATGACCCCATAGGCAAGCCAGCCCACACGCCGGCGTCCGGTTTAGGAATTTAGAAAGACTGAAAAATTTTCGGAAAAATTGGAAACTTTTCGAGAAGTATTTTTTGAAGATTCCCCCAAAAAATCTTCTAAAAAATAGCACGATAAAACATTTACGGAAAAAACTTCAGACTTGAAAATTTCCCCAAAAATCCTCTTTCGCAAAATTAAAATTTTCATAATCCGGAAACAACCATGGAAGTAAAAGGAGCATGGCGCCGATGGGTCACCGTTCGGGTGGACATGACACGACAAGGGCGAGACACTCACCTGATCACGGCATGTCGGGTGGGTCACAGCAGCCCCGCGTACATGACCCACAGGGCGACCAGCAGGAAGATGAGGATGAGGTAGGTCATGATGAGACTGCCGGTCTCGGAGGCGGGGGCGGGCATGGCGGCGGCGGCGAGGCTGCTCACGTCTGGTCCAGGGGCGGCGGCGCGGGGTTCTGCACCTCGCCGTCAGCTCGCCGTCAGCTGGACCCCTCCCCCGGGGCGGCCCGCGCCTCGCGCCCCCCACCCAAACCTGTCCCTCCCCCACACAGACACACACTCTACCCACTTCCATCGCCGATGTTTTCGGCCGGCCAGCAACCCCAAAGGTGCAGAAAGCAGGGGGAAAGGGGTGTACGACTCGTCATGTTCGGTGGTAAACAAGTGAGTAACGTCAGTACAGCTTGGCAATGACAAAAGGTGGACCTAAATTTACCTTCCTCCAAAACTGCGTGCACTACCAATATTGTGCTACATTTTAATGTTTAATATATAGAATACAATACTAGTGTATTAAAACGTCTGTTGTCTTTTGCTTGCCTACTCCACCCACAAGCCAACCTGTCTCCCACCACTGTAGACGGGCCGAGGGCTAGGCTAGGCTAGTACCCCCCCCTCCCCCCTTTCCCTCACAAACCGAGTAGAAGCGCGCAAAAATCAGGGGCGTAGGAAGGTCCTGAATATTGGGGGGGCATGCCGTGTGGGTTGCCTACCTTGCAGGGGTGGTTTTCCCAGTCCGCTGGGATAAAATAGCAGCATGTATTATTTTATTTTGCGTATACAATACATTAAGTGTAAAAAAGAAACACTTCTATGATGTTCAATGCATAAATAATGATTTATTTATCAATTAAATAAAAACAATAGGAACTAGTAACTCAAAT